TGAGCCCAGCACAGCAGCACTGCTGCTCTGAGCTTTCAACATTGTTTCTTCGAAGGCACAAATTTGCTTTGCAAGGTCTGGTATTTCTAAGTCGTCTGCTACACAGTGACTAAACCTAAAGAGGGAGTCAGATGTGTGCAGATATAGTGCCGGAGAATTTAAGTTAAATCTGTAATTTTCTTTTCTCTCTCTTTCTCTCCCTCCCCCTTGCATTTCCTCAGAGAAATTAGCTATTCTATTCACTGCATAAATTTTCAGGTTTTGCTAGCACGACACTCAGGGTGTTGAATTTTTTATGACAAAAATGCTGTAATAATTGTTGAACAGATGTAAGTGTTGAAAAGTGGGCTCTGGCAGACCTCATGAAACCTCTATTAGCAATTTTAACCCTGTCGCCGCAACAGCGCAACGAGGGAAGAGAAAGGAGGGTGGTTGAGGGCTGTTTTTTTTCTTCATTTGGATGCCAAGGTGGAGAAATGAAGGTTCTCCTCCCAGGTAGAGAAAACAAGCTTTTACTCATACTGCATGGCACTAAGAATGTTTTAGATAATTGGGGTAAGGTATCCAGGAAATGCAACCGATACAATAATTTAAACCTCAATAGGGTGGCATTGGCAGTAAGTAACGTTTTCACAAGTCACACTAAAAACATCCAACTGAACTAAAAAGGGCTACTAATGCATTACTAATACAGCACAGAAAGAGGTGAAGGATGATGTGTTAAAACTGAATATACACTCTAGTCAATGTAGGTCTTAAATTGTGTTTACTGGGGTTGGAAATGTGAAGAACAGTTTAGTGCACAATCCTATGGACCCTGGTGGCCATCCTAGCGGCCACAGAATGTTCCAGATCTCCTTCTCCAGGGGCAGAGGAAGAGGTCCTACCTTGGAGAGAAGAGCCAACCTCATAAGGCCCCTTCTAGTGATCAGGATCTAAGAAGGCAGTGATTTCTACTCCAATCTGTATTCGTCACAACCAGCCATTCCACTGCATTTTGGTTTCCACCGAAAACTATATTATTCATCTAACTGTCCACTATTTCACCTAAGGTGCACATGTGTCATAACTATTTACATAACTTGTAAATATGTACATAACTTGCATTCAGCTCAATGTAAAGGAAACATATTACTATCTCCAACTGTGGAGGCAGAGCTGAGTCGCCATGGCTAACAGCCTTCGTTAGCACCCTCCTCCATGAATTGGTCTAACCGTCTTTTATCTCATTTGTGAAATTAAAAACAACAACAATGATGTGAATGAACATGGAATATTTTCATTTTTACTTATTTCCGATCCTGACGGCAGAAGAACATGTGAATTACTGCAATTTCTTTTCTTTTTTCATTGGAAATCTCCAACATTTCTACCTAGAGAACTTTGTGGCTTTTGCCTTACTGATGTCAGAGCTCCAATGCTGGCTGCTGGTAGGGGAAAAAAGGATCAGGGGAAGGTATGGATCCAAAGTCTTCCCATACTCAGTCCCCCCCCCAAAAAAAACAACAACAACCAAGAGGAATTATAGAAAACAACAGAAGGGAAATATTATGAACATATGAAGAAGTTCCTAGGAATGACATTATCCCACCATGTGTCCAGTAGTTTTCAGATCCTTCAGCCCACAAATAGAATTGCTCTCCTATGCTGCAATTCTTCACCCATTTACCTGGGAATAAGCCCCATATAATTCCTACTTTTAAATAGGTGCACATGTATAGGCTAATGCTGTCATTTGTAAGAATGCTCTGAAGACACCTCTTGCTTCAGCATACACTTGAGTTGCTAGCCAACTGATATCCCATCAACAGGGAGCAATCTCCAAAAGGGGCTTTCTCACATGTCTTCCTGTATGACAACATTTTTTTTTGAACTTGTTTCTCACATTCACACTTCAATGTTTTGATGTGGGGAGGGGCAACATGGTGCCCTCCAAATGCTATTTGACTCCAGATCCCAAAAGTTCCAGCCAGGATGACAAATCATCAGGGATGATGGGAGTGGGAAGCCAACAACATCTGGTCATCTTGTTGACCTACCCTGGTTTGAGATAGATCGGTGTTTCCCAGACTTGTTTCTCTAGCTGTTTTTGGACCACAACTCCCATCACCCCTAGCTAGCAGGACTAGTGGTCAGGGATGAGGGGAATAGCAGTCCAGAAACAGCTGGAGATCAAAGTTTAGGAAACCCTGAACTAGATAAATGATAAAGGTAAAGGACCCCTGACAGTTAAGTCCAGTCGCAGATGACTTGGGGGTTGCAGTGCTCATCTCGCTTTACAGGCCGAGGGAGCCGGTGTTTGTCCACAGACAGTTTGTCTGGGTCATGTGGCCAGCATGACTAAGCCGCTTCTGGCGCAAGGGAACACCAAAGCCAGAGCAGCGCACGGAAACGCTGTTTACCGTATTCTTCGGCGGTACCTATAGGTCGCACCGGCCACATTTGGGCGTGCTTTAACTGCTTGGTTGGCAGAAACTGAAACAATATTATTCCTCCGTCATCTGACATGCCGTCCCAAGCCTTGTGCACACCTGAAAGCAATGCATCAGGGCTACCTCAGGCCGCAGGGCTCACAAGCAGTGCCAGGCTGCAGGCTTACTACACCCAAAGCGCTTGCTGCAGCTCGTTGCGTGACCTCCTGTCCGGGCGCGCAAGCCTGCAGTCTGCTACGGCTGAGACACGTGGAGCCCTCCGAGGCTCCCGTGCCTCGGCGCCTGGCTGCCAGCTCCAGAGCCTCGCGCTGCTCCAGCGCGGACCTCTCTGCCGGTGCGCGCAAGGTCTTGCAGACACTCGCCCGAGGCACGGGAGCCCTCCGGAGGGCTCCCGTGCTCGGAGTCTCCAGACTGCTCTGCCCCAAGCCTCGCGGGCTCTGGGACGTGGACCCTCCTGCCGGGCGCGCATGTGCTTGCGGACGCCTCGCTGGAGCTGCAGCGCGCGCCTGCAAGCCTCGTGAGCCTGCCTTGGACAGTTCCACCAGGCTGCAAGGCTTCGGATACTCCTGAGCCTGCAGCGAGAGGGTCGGCTGCGCACCGATGCCTCCCTCGCTTCTCTAGGCTGCCGGAGCCTGCATTCGCCTGATACACTGGAACCTCCACACATTTCGCTTCACTTTTGGAGGGGAGGCTGGTCCTGATGGCCAGCTGCCAAATACGGATCACCCTGGTCCCTGTTCCGGACACGTGCACCTGAGGTTATCTAGCCTTGACCACTTTTGGCGTGCCTTCTGGAATCCTGCTAGGCTGGCAGGACGCATGGGATCTCTGAGTCATTATCATCCTCTGCTCATCTGGGATCACCCCATGCGCTCCGTCTCCTCCCACACGATGTCTCCATGAACCCTGACACTATGAGATACAAGTTCATCACTTATCTCTGAGCATTCACACAATTCTGCACCCAGTTACCAAATAAAGCATCCTTCATGTTGATCTGAATCTACAGGACGCTTGGACTGGTGCAGGCAGCCTGGAAATTAAAAAGGAGCTATATCTGCCACCTCATAGTGCTGTCTGATGTCACTTTTTAGGGGTGAACACGTTTAGATTGATGTTTGTAAATGACTTCAAAGCCAAGTCACCTAAGGATGGTGAAGTAGAAGCATGTCTATGATGATGCTGAGATGCACATTCTGAATAATCCCAAAAGCCAGGGAGCTGAAACTATATATACACAACAAATTTATATGCCCTTTATCTTAGTTAAACTGCTGTGGATTCCCACCTCCCCCCCTCCAATTTGAAAATTTGTAATTTGTTTTGGGTGCTGAGAATTCTTGGTAAAGAATCCCTCCCCTCCCTGTGCAAACTACAGTTCTCAGGCTATTATTGTTAAAGCTGTTTAGGTTGTAGTGCAGATATGTCCATTGTCTCAGCACTAAATAGACCCTTGTGTTTAGCGAAACTTGCCAAGGACTGAACTTCAAGTTCATATAAAAATAACATCGAGGGTTGTCCTCAGAGATGCAGGATTGGAGGGTCAGGGAGTAGAAAAATAATAGATGAATGTTATGAAGTGCTGACTGCATAGCTTCTTGCTTGATCTCCACACCTGCCAATGTTACATGATGGCTTCTGGGATGTTGGAGACGTGTGTGATTCCTAGATTTACATCTCAAAGAAATATGCGCATAGGGAAACCTTCCTTTATTTAGGGGAGAGAGAGAGAGAGAGAGAGAGAGAGAGAGAGAGAGAGATGCCATCAGAGATATGATTGGGAGTTGCATGTCCACCCAATGATGAAAGCATGCATTTTTATTTTTTTTTAGAATCAAACACTTTAAAAAGGAGAAGGAAATAAAATGGCATCCAGTAAGAAAATATGGTGGTGACAGCCATCAGCAGGAGATCTAGTGGCAACTCCAAAGCTGCCAAAAGAGAAGTCGGAGGAGTCTGCTACAGAGACAGATGTCATTGCTAGAAGAAAATCTTCCATAGATTTGGTTGTCGCAGGTGAAGGAGAAGAGAGAAAGAAAAAAAAATACTTGATTATAGACTGGAAAATAAAACATGGGTCCAGTTGCATTTTTAAACATAGCAATTTTGTTAACAACCCCTTATTTTAAAAGGGAAACTCACCTGTTAGAAGCAGAAGTTTGTAAAGTACATTTCAATTCATTCTGGGATGCTTGAAGAATTTGAAATTTGTGAATAGGATATGACCTGATCCACATTTCCTAGGCTCACATGCAGAATAGAATCTGAATGGTCAGATGCATGTTGTGATTGAAAAAGATATATCAAAGGATGTTTTAAAATACATATTTTTAGTGAAAATACTTTCCCCAAATTGTACATCTGTAGAAATGCTTTTATTGTTTTTAAGGTTTTTATTTTTTGCATTTTATCTCACTTTAACTTGTTGTACACCAGTTTGATGGACTAAGGCTGTGAAGTGATTTATAAATCTTTACTTATGTACATAAGTAACATATGTGCTTCAGCATTAGCCTACAATTTATTCATTTTATTTTTTAAAAAATCTGCACAACATGCATTTAAATATCTAGTTAATGATGTATTTCTATGTATGTACATATGCATTTCTATGTATGTGCATACGTACATATGTACACACATAGAAATGCATCATTAACTAGATATTTAAACGCATGTTGTTGTGGAGATTTTTTTTTTTAATGAATAAATTGCAGGCTAATGCTGAAACACAATAAAATGAGGGATGTATGGATCAGTCTAAGTTTGTTCTGCGGCAGTTTTGCTGGTACTTAATCATAGGTCTATTCTGTCCCAGTTTCTGAAAGAATACACAAAATTACCGTATGTAAATTATATGCCTTTTGTACATGCCTTCACCTTATACATTTGCAATGCTTTCTGATGCATTTCCCCCGAAATATCTATTTTCTACACATCTTTAATATAAAATACATACATTTCTGTGCACATTTGGAGACCCGAACTGCACCGCGAAATCCAGAGACAATCTGACAGCTAGTTGCATTACAATCTGACAGCAAATTATAAAAAAAATGGTCCTAACATCCTAATCCCTGAAATTAATAGCCCTTATATAGCAAATAGCAAAACAACACAGAAAAACCATGTATTCACACAAGCCCTCTTCAGACATTACAATCAGGATAAGGTAAACACATTAGGAGGCAGCTCTTTCTGTTGCCATTCCTGCTACCTACCAACTCTTAGAAGGTAACTGTCCAAAGCAGGGAGTGTCCTGTACTTAGGGAGGCTCCCTGTGCATTGTTAGTACCTTGAGTGGGGAGCCTCCATGATTACAGAAGGCTTCATGTTTCAGAGTGGGTTGGAAGGTGATGGACATGCCAAAGATCCATAATAGCCAAAGATCCATAATAGACTGAAAACACCGCTTAACAAAAAATAAAGCGTTTCCCATTAAAAGTTGAGGTCAAATTCATTTGAGTTAATTGGTGGGATAATGCCATGACTCTGGAGTCTACCAGTGACTAGGAAGTTACATTAATGTCACTGGCTAAGGTACCAGACCAGGTTCCTGGCTCCAAGGCTGATGCTGGTGATCAACGGGCCACTGAACCTAAAGCTGGCAGGAAAGAGGTTGCTAAACCAGATCTCACAATACCAGGGCATTACTTCAACATGGAAGTACTTCAACATGGCAGGGAGTGCCCCAGGCAGGAGGTCATGGAGTTCAGGAGAAGTGCCATCTCCATTTTAGAGATCTGGCCCCTTTAGAAACTCTAGTCCTCCAATAGGTGGTGTAGCTTAGGAAAGGCAGCCTGGAGGCAAAAGTCTTAAGAGGCCTCAGTTCACTTCTAACCCTTGTTTGAGCAAGTTGCTCATCAGGAGCTCTCCATGGTGCTGCAACAGCTGACCTTACCACTTAGCTCTATGGGACCAGGGCAGGAGACATGACATGCCCCATTTTCAATTTAAATATTACCCAGGTCTGCCCGTGCACCAAATCTCAGCTTTCTGTCTTCTTGCTGAAGCCCATAACATTTTTGACACCCCTGTAGTGAGGTCCAAGCAACATCAGACAGAGAGACAGAAAAGTAGATAGCACGGAAGTAGGGATGTGTTCCTGCACATCACAAGAAATTGCCCCACCATCTAGTTAAGGATTTACAAATGTGTAAACGGGAAAGTCTGACACCTCTATGTCACTTTCAGATTTCTGTTCCTGCAAATTTCTGCAGCAAATCCTCTGTCTCTGAGACTGAAGCTTATTTAATCCATGAAAGGCAACCAGAACTCTCATGCTCCAACATTCTCACTCCCTTCACTTGTTCTGTGTTGTCCCTTATTTCAAAGTAAAGTCCATGACCCAGATTTGTGACCACTAAAAATGAATGCTCTGTTTCATACATTACTAGTAATTTCAGCTTATCTTGCTTATGGGTGTGTGTCAAATTCCAGCTTTCTTGTGCTTGTTCACACAAGAATCCTGTTCGACTCATTTGAAGCAGCTCTACACATGCACATTCAAACTATATTGAATTTGCAGCTCTACGGCCCCTCATTTGAATGCCCCTGCTCTGTAGAACAAATGCCCCACCATTGGCCCATTCATTCACAAGAAAAAAAGACAGAGCACAGGGCACACAGAGCGTACCTGTTTCCAGTGTGTTACATGCATAGACTCTCTGCAGAACAATGCTGTGCTGACAGCCAGGGAGCAGCTGCCAGTAGACAATACTGAGTAAGATGGCCCAATGGTCTGACTGAAGATAATAATAGTAGTAGTCGTAGTAGTAGTAGTAGTAGTAGTAATAGTAATTTATTTATATCCTGCCCTCCCCAGCCAAAGCCGGGCTCAGAGCAGCTAACAACAGTAGAAATAGCACAATTTACATGAAATCACAATTAATTAATTGAAATACATTCTAAAATCAGTTCAGAATCAAATTAATGGCAACCATTGGACTAGAGTTCTGTGAAGATTACAGGAGGAGAGAGGGGGTCAGACTGCGACTTGGCCAAAGGCCTGGTGGAACAGCTCTGTCTTGCAGGCCCTGAGGAAAGATGTCGAGTCCCAGAGGGCCCTAGTCTCTTGTGACAGAACGTTCCACCAGCGGAGCCATGGCTAAAGAAGCCCTGGCTCTGGTTGAGGCCAGCCTAACCTCCCTGTGGCCTGGGATCTCCAAGATGTTTTTATTTGAAGACCGTAAGGTCCTCTGTGGGACATACCAGGAGAGGCGGTCCAGTAGGTACAAGGGTCCTAGGCCGTACATGGCTTTAAAGGCAGCTTCTTGTGTCCCTGTGCAGCAGCCTACACTTCCTGATTGGAACAGGCCCCGTGAGAGAAATTACGTCATGATTGTCTTCTCCTGAGCATGGGAAGTCAGGGGAGATGGCAGCCAAGCGCCTGAGATTCGTGTGCTTTGTTTTGAAGGGTAACCCTTCCTTAAACCTTGGTTGAGGGGTATGGATTTCCACACTGATTTCTTTAAAAGTTAAAAGTTACTTTTTAAAAAAAATAAAAATAACAACAGGCAGCTGTCAGGAGCACAGAAGTCTGTCTTGCCAGCTTCCCATACTCATAGGAAAGCCCTGCTGACGTTGTCATGGGGTGTTTAGGAAGAGTGGGTAGCCAGAAAGCCTGCAGAGTACAGACCACCAGAGAGACAGCTTGTAGAGTGAAGGAAAGAATGAAAAAACCCATCAGATGAGTGTGCAGAGTTTGGATCTAAACCAACAAGCACATTTCTTCCTCTGCCCAAGCATTTATTCTACCCCGTTTGTTTTGTGAGTAGAGCTAATCTACCAGATCATCCAAAGTACCTTCATATAAATAACACTGGGCAACAATTTTTTTACTTTTTGAATGTTGTCTAGATTTCTACAACTGATTTAGGGTATTGTTGCACTGCTGAATCAGCAAATGGCATCCGTTTCTCTCCATCAGGTCAGGTTTACTGTAAACTGAATGGTGGGCATTGATAAAGGTAAGTACACGTAAATTGCATGTTGCTTCACCATTTTTCAAACTTCAGGGCTTGAACTTCCGTTTCTTGGAACTCCTGGAATGCTCAGTGGCAGGGAGGTCTCTCTTCAGAGTCCAACAGTAGTCAGCCATCATGACTGCGTCCCAGCGACCCTGATACCTGGTCTCCATCTCTTTCATGTCCTGATGGAATCTCTCCCCCTGCTCGTCACTCATTGAACCCAGGTTCTCAGGAAACCGGTCCATATGTGAAAATAGGTAGTGCATCTTGATGCTCATGTTGCAGTCCAGGTTTCTGAAAGCGGTCAGCATGTTGTTGTCAAGTTCTGCATAGTTTCTGGCCTTATTGTTGCCAAGAAAGTTCTTCACTACCAGAACAAATGCCTTCCACGCTTCCAGTTCCACTTCGTTCATTGACTTTCTGAACTCTGGATCTCTGATGAGCTGACGGATCTGAGGACCATCAAAGATGCCAGCTTTCAACTTCTCCATGGTCAATCCTGGAAAAGCCTGGCACAAGTAAGTGAAGCAGTCACCATCCTTGTCCAGAGCCTTGGTGAACTGTTTGATTAAGCCGAGCTTGATGTGCAGCGGTGGGAAGAGTATTCTGTCTCTGTCCACCAGAGGGTTGTTGATGACGTTCCTTTCTTTGCAAGGCACCAATTCCTCCTGCACAGGCCAGTCCTTCTTCGTGTAATGCTGAGCACGGTCCCTACTATCCCACATGCACAGAAAACATGGGTACTTGGTGAAGCCAGACTGTTGTCCCAACAAAAAGTTCACCATCTTCAGGTCAACACAAATAAACCACTTATGTTGATCATAACCAGTTTTCTCCAGCACATACTTCACCGCTTCATAGTTCTCCTTCAGTGTACTCGAGTGAGCCAGGGGTATAGAGGCAAACTGGTTGCCGTTGTGTAGCAGAACACATTTCAGTGATCGCTTGCTGCTGTCAATGAACAGTCTCCAATCTTTGTGTTTGTACTGTGGCACTCCAAGCTTGAGCAGAAGCTGCGCAATATCTGCACAGTACACCAAGTCCTTCTCTTCTGAGAAAAAACGGAGGCACTCTTGATGCCTGTTGCGTAAGAAGCTGATGCGAGCACTGTCAGAGAGGAGGTTTTTTTCCTTCAATCTGGATGCCAACAGTTCGGCAGAGTCCTTTGACAAGCTGAGGTCGCGAACTAGATCATTCTTTTTTAAAAAAAAGATATTTATTAAAATTTTCAAGATATTACAAAATGAAAAAATAAAAAATAAAAATACAAAATAAAAATAGTTAAAAACAACTCAATCTTTCCATTACTTATTTTTCATTAGCTTGTTTCCCGGACCTCCTCGCGCCTCCCTTTTTTTGTATTCCAGTTCAGTTTGTTAATTCAGCAAATCCTTCCCCTCTTTGTTTATCCTAGTGTTTAATCTTAAAATATTGTAACATTAAATTTTTACCTATTCATAATCCATTTTTCATATTCCCTTATAGTATTACAGCTAAAAACCACTTAATTTCTATCCAACATCATTCTAACATTCATTAATTTTACAATATTTCAGTAAATAGTCTTTAAACCTTTTCCAATCTTCTTCCACCGACTCTTCTCCCTGGTCTCAGATTCTGCCAGTCATTTCCGCCAATTCCATATAGTCCATCACCTTCATCTGCCATTCTTCCAGGGTGGGTAGATCTTGTGTCTT